AAATTATTTCTTTTAATGCTTTTTAAATTCTTTTTTATTCTTTTGAAAATGTTCATTAAAAAAGCTTTTTACATTCCAACACTTTAACTTGAAAAATAGATTTTTAAATAGAAAATAATAAAAACTTATTTTCACAAACTTCTAAGGAAGAATTTGTTTTCTTTTAATCAAGAAATGAACTTTAAACGTGTTTAAATGAATTCTGAAGAAATAAAAAACCAGGCGCTGTGAAAATGTTTATCAACTCACGAAGCTTGAAAGTGATAAGATATGAAACATCTACATTCAACAAAGCTTTTGACTTATAAAAATAACGTAGATCAAGTTACTCAAGTCTTTTCAATTGTCAATTCATACATAGTTAGACGATTCAATAGCTTGTACATATCTAATTAATTAACAGTCAAAAAGATTTGATCGAATTACATTCATCCTGACATTTGTACTTCTTTCTACATATTTCATTAAACCTTCTTTAATTTAATGATAATTTCTTTTATTTCGGCTTCTTTGTTTTTCCTTGTTGCCATTGAAACTCGCAGGTATATCATATTCCATTGTACTTTAAAAAATATTTTTAAAGATACTTCAAAGAAGATTAAATTTGACGGGAAATTTCTTTTTTTTGTATTCTTCACAGTCACAATGTAACATCCTCCTTGTTCATAAGAATAATACGCAATTCTTCAAAACTTCACTTTTCTTTTTCCCTATTTATGCATGAAAAACTTTTTTAATTACAGTCTCTGATGTTTTAATTACAGCTACTGAAAGTAGCCACTGAAACGTCACAAACTTATTAAATATCTAGTGAATTTTTTATTATTTTTTTTTGTCATTCTTTATCATCGCTGAAAGCAACTGATTGTAGATGTCAATTTACTTCTCACCTGCTCGTTATCATTGTTATCAGTACTTTAATGTGTGTAAAACTTTTCATACACCAACTTTATTTATCTGCTGTCACTTCACAAGTTTATTTCTGTTAGTGTGGGAATTATTTATTATTTATTTTCAGTCAATGATTCCCCTTAAAGACTAGACTGAATCCAATATAAGTCCAATTTTTGATATTTATTAAAGAAACAAATCAGGAAAAACCAACTGCATGAAGCCATGAAGCCATGAAGCCTTTAAGCAATTCTTTAAATTTTATGTTTTGTCGTAAACAAAGCCATGACAATGAATTATCTAGAAGGATTGCGTGTGCTGTATCTTTTTCTCAGTTTCATATTTTGGAATTATGTTGGAAAACATATCTTCTAAAAACAAACAAGAGTTTGGGTACATTCTTCACATTTACTCAGTCGTTCCGTGTTGAGCTACGACTTAAAGAAATATCTGCATGACATAAGTTGCTTACAAAATATTGTTATGGAATTCACCTTTGCAATCTTTCACATTTTTTAAATAAGAAAATTTATCCTTAGGCAGCACTGAAGGATTTTCTGAAGATTTCTGTTAAACATATTCGTAAAATAAATACTTTTTTAAATTCAAAGAATATGTTTTTGGCCAAGGACTGCTTACAATCTTCTTAATAGTCATCTTTTTTTTTCAGAAAGCTTTTCTTTTAAATTTTAGCAAAATATAAGTTAAAGTCTTATTTTAAGGACGAATAATATTTTTTTCTCTTCTGCAAATCTCTTAAATATTTAGATTCCAAGTATTTATAAGCTGTTTATTTGAAAAGCTTTTAAGCCTTGAACATTGTTTGAAAATATGAAATTCTACAAAAGTTAGAACAGATTTTGTTTTGTTTTATTCGCACCAGAGAAATATTTCTATACAACGAAGTAATGCGTTCTTTGAATTTTTGATTTATCTGTGAAGTGAAGCGTCAATATGAATTTATTTTGAAAAATAAGGAAATTGATGGAATGAAGAGATAAAAAATTCCATTTGAAATTGGAGAACTTGAAGTGAAGGAATTCGTCATTTTCAAGAAAAAAAATAAAGAAATTGAATCGAATGTATCGACAAAGTATATTTACGTTAGTTCGTAACTTACGAAACAAAAACATTGAAGAAAATGTATCGGCAATCAATATTTACGCACGATAGTAGGTAACAAAATTTGATAAATTGAATTTAATGATCATAACAATGATCATAACATGTATTAAGTTGTAAATAATAATTGTACAAAATTTTATTATCACAATCACGATAAGAAAATAAAACAGGACGAATAAAAATTATATTTTCACTTATTCAAATTAATCTCTTATCGTTATCACAGCTGAGTCTTTAATCTCTTAACCAGAACTTGTCAGAATAAAGAAAATCCTCGAAATAATATTCACGCGAAAGCATTTTCAGGGAACAATTTGTCTATTGGAATGTTATGAGACTTGACATTTTTCTCCAAATTAATCATGTGGCTTAAAACTTCATTTTAATCAACAATAATTATACTTTTGTGTAATTTTAATTCAGTTTAAATCTCTAGACCACAAATGAAGGTTGAAAGATATACGCGACTCATTTCATTTATTATTCGATGCAAGATTCGATGCATCATTTAATAAATTAGCATAGCATTAAGAGGATTTTTAATGTCTCATAAGGTAAATAGATATCAAATCGACTTCTCAAGAAAAATCTACCTCATTGAAATTTTGTTTATCTTTAGTGGTCAATTGATGTTCAAGAATTCATATTCCTCAATAATTTACATGAATTTCGTTACTTTTTATATTTTATTCATTCACAGATATGTCACATTTGATAAACAATTTCATGGTTTCTCACATCTTAAAATTAATATTTTGTTTTGTCACTTATGTATTTATTTATGTGCCCACATGTGATTTACAACTGCATGAATATTTTAAATAATTTTATTGTGCTTCTAATATTAAAAATTATTATTTGTATCTTTAATTTTATACATCACAAGTTTTTCACAATTATAAACATGATTGATCTTTTTAAAAGTTTGAAAAATCCTAAAGCTTCAAACATTTTTTATGATAAATAAATAAACGTTTCAACTCGATCGAAAGTAAACATGAGAGATCAATCATTTATTCAGTTGATGTCATTATTGCAAACATTTAACTTTGAATCGTTAAGCCGTTGAAAAGTAACGAAACGCGTAAAGACTTTTTCAGTGTGTTTCAAGTGAGTGGTAGCTGAACACTAAAATATCTTTCAACATTTTTATCCTCACAGTTCACAGTGAGATGAGAAATTTCTCACATGTCTCTGCGCATGCTTATGGAAGATTTCTGTAGGTTCATTCATGAAAATCTTTAATCTCTTTTCGTTTACGTTCATTCAGTTGTTGTTAAGCATTTTATCAGCATTCACTTTTTTTTTTATTTTCACTTTTAATTTCAAATAAATTTCAACCTTTACTATGTGCTCAATTTTCCAGTCTGATACTTCTGCGATCAAAATTAAGTAAAAATTCTTCAGATCTTTTTCAGAAAACAGAAAATTATTCAAATGACAGATGAAAATTACATTAAATATTTATAATTATTAAAAGAAGATTTTATTTCGTGAACTTGTAAACTGATCAAAAGAATTTGTATTTTTAAGGAGTTTCATTTTTATTTTTGTGTTGAAATCGTGAGAAGGGGATGATGGTATTTTAATTATTTGAAGCTTTTGCAAATCCACTTAAGTTTAAATAGATGACACTTCAAAAGCTGTTAAAAATAAGAGCCTATTAATCGAGTTATTGACATTTCCGTTTACATAAGCGTTGGTCTCTGTTAACATTAATGTAAAACATTATGCTATGAAAGCAGATTTGAATAAAAATCAAGAAGAAATTTCATAGAGAATAAATTATGGATAGGATATTTTGATTTATTTAGATATTTTACACCATTAACTTAACGTTTAACATTCTTTGTTGATCGCAGGAAAAAATTATTGGTATTTTATTTTAAATTGAGAAGCATTATTTGCTTTATTATGCTTCTCAGAAATATTTAAAATTTCTGTTACATTTTTCTTGAGAAATACCATTTTTTGCTTCATAACGAATAGTTCGTAAAAGTTATTATTAATTTTCAATCGCGAGTAATTTCACAAATTTCATTAAATAATAGAGAATCTCAGATTTCTATGTGAACAGTACTAACATGATAAAAATAAACTTTTCTATCCAATTTAGTCTCAAAACATTTTATTAGATTATTTTTACTCAAAACTTCAAAAGTATCTGAAAAAAAGTCGGTCCCAACAATAAATAT